CAACTTACATTTGTGAAGTGGAAAGTGGTTGTATAGGTCGAGGAGGTTGCTGATTTCCTAGCAATGCAAGGGCATTAATTCCCGATTCTTCCACAAATGTTGATTGAGACCGCTGCTTCTCGTACGACACCTTGGAACGTGGAGGTGACACAGAACTGACCTGAACATTGGTAATCAAACAATACTCGCAAAACAAGGCTAACCGATCTGCTGCATCAAAATTTGCCGCTTTGAAGAGCGGATTACAAGATAAATGGATCGGTACCATTTTATCATTCCTTTTTTCAGCCTCAAATACCAAAGATAAGTTGAAACAGGCTTTTATACCATCTCATTCAAACCGGGCGCTACACTTTCCAATTACTAGCAGCCAGGGACCAGATAGGTCATAGAGAAAATAGATAAGCTCTAAAGTCACAAAAAGTAGGAACTTCAGTCAAACCGCTGCTATACTGCTTTTTATTGGCCCTGTTTGGCCCTGTTTCATTTTTGAATCCGTTTCGAGGACAACTGAAATAGGATATGCTATGTGCGAGATATTCCCAGATTATATATTTCCACATATTATGGCCCCGATCCACCAGATGGAGTTATCTTGCGCTTTGCGGCAGTATCGATTGACACATGACCCATACGTAAGCACTTGTTTTCATGGAGCTCCCATAAAAACACAGAACACATTTCAGACAGCAGCAATGAGAGAAGCCGAAATGTTTGATGAAAGCGGGAGTCACAAATAATGTAAACTAGAACCTCTGTCCCTTCCCGACCCCCAAAAATAGGACTATGAGGTATGTATAACTCATCAATCAGACTCACCTTATTGATATAAGCTGTTGACTTGATCTTGTTCACTGGTAGGAGGTTTTGGACCCTCGCTTCCATAGAGCGAGCTGAGTAATATCGGGTATTTTGGCTGTTGTTCAAGACGCCTTCGTCTGAGCTGACAGTGCCAATTCCTAAACACAAGTCTATAAACTAGTTGTCCAACATTTGAACTTTCTAGTCGATTCAGTCCTTTCTCAAGAAACGAACATAGCAAACCGGCCTACTTTCGTATGCTTGGTTGCCACACCGCTTCTATATCGTCTCAAGA